TTTCTTCATACAGACTGGTGTCCAGGGATTTGTCTTCTAGTTGGTTTATGTGTTCTGCACCCAGTTCTATCCTGCTCTTTTGTTCTCCAGTGTATTGTGTAATTCTGCAAGTTTGATATTCATCTTCTGGACTGCTAGCTTTTTATGAGTTCTTATTCATTAATCTTATTATTTTGTTCTTGAATGATTTTCCTGAGTTCTTCCAGGGAACTGTCTGTGTTCTCCTTGTTTCTGTTTGCGGTTTCCTTAGGCTCTTGTAAAGCTCTATAAACATATCTTCTAAATTCCTTCTCAGATATTGCCTCCTCTTCCTCAAGATTTAATGAGACCTTTTTTTGTGGTTTTGCTTCTAATCCCTTGTCCTGTTTTTTTGTTTGATTTGAGGTTGCCTGTTGTTTGCTAGACATTTTGAGGTTGTCTTTAACTGTTAATTATGTACTGATTTGTGTTGTCTTGGTTTTATGATTTAATATTTTGAAAAGGTGGAACTGGTGTATTTTATTTTTTTGGCTATTAATTCAAGTGTGCTGGAATGCTCTGCAGTTTTCTTTGTGATGATGGAATCGTTATGTGGAGTGTGGATACAGGTTTCTGTTTGTCATTAAGAGGGTTTAGAATTTGTACCAGGAAGTATTATGGTGGCTGGATGTGATATTTTTCTATTGGATGAGAGAGGGTATTGGTGGAGCAGGTGAGAGCGGAAGAGAGAAAGAAGGGAAGCATCATGTTTCTAGGGGCGGTTTCTAGGACTTTGAGCAGGCTGCTAATGACTACATTGTACTGTTATTCACAGGGCCACAGCTCATGTTTACCAAGGCCTCCAATTGTTAGGCAGTCACCACTTTCTGCCAGGCTCAGACACACGCAAAAACCCTGCTCTTGTGGCCCCACCTTGACAAAAATGTGACCCAAGACAACTGGCCCACACACTTGCAATGCCAGTGATCTCTCCGCTTGGGTTTCGGGGGTGCTGGGGAGTAGGAAATGCCTGCTCATACCTAGCGGACCCAATATTACTGACAAAGTCAAGCACCAGTGCCACCATGCCAAAAAGCTGGCTCAAGCCCTTTCTTGTGATACACTACGGGAGTTTCTCCCAGGGCCTACCCACTTGTGTTAATGGTCTCTACTCGGGTTTCAGCAGTGCTGGAAGTGCCCTCTGGCACCCAGCAGACTCAGGTTTACTGATAAAAGCAGGTGCTGAAGGTAGATCCGTGGGGTAAGCACTGGTATACTGGTGTGGTGCATCTTCTTCCTTAATCCAGGGAAGCCTCTGGTCTTCCTAATTTTTATCTTTGCATTTGTTTATATTTTCTTTGAAGTTTTCATGAGTATTATCTTTTAAATTTATTGAAAATTTTATCTACTTTTAATTTCGTTTAAGGGTTTTATTCTTTTAATTTTTCTTTGTTTTTTAAAATGTTTTTGTTTTTAAGGAATTCTGCTGGTGTGGTAGTTAAGGCACCCGACTGCTAACCAAAAACTCTATGGTTCAAACCCACCAGCTGCTTCATGGGAGAAAGATGAGGCAGTCTGCTTCCATAAAGATTTATAGCCTTGGAAACCCTGTAGGCAGTTCTGCTCTTTCCTGTAGAGTCACCATGAGTGGAACTTCACTTGGTAGCAGTGGGTTTGTTTTTGATTTTATTATTTTTTATTTCTAAGGGTTCTTTTCTTATTTTTTCAGCGTTTCTTTGTTTTATATCTTACTTTTTCCTGGACCTAGTATTTTTTTGGGAGCTGTGGTGTAGTATAGGCCTAAAGCACTTGACTGCTTACCAGAAGGCTGGCGGTTCAAACCCACTAGCCACTCCTTGGAAGGAAGATGGGCAATCTATTTCTGTAGTGATACTGCCTCGGAAACCCAAGGAGGGGTCGCTATGAATCGAGTCCAACTCAACGGCACATAACAACAACAAGTATTCTTGTTAAGTGCTTTGTCTGCATTTTCTCTAGTTTCTTTTTTCTGTTTATTTCTCTTTGGTATTTACATGCAATGTAGGGAGAGATCTTTGTATTTTATGTTTATGAGAGTTTCCTCAAATAAATCATGATCCATCACTGTTTATTTTCATTTAGATAAAATTTATGTAACAAAAATCAGTATTTTAACCATTTTAAAGTGTACCATTCAGTGTTTTTTTACTGTGTTCACAGTATTTTGCAACCATTGTCTTTAATTCTAAAACAATTCCATCACCCCAAGAAGAAACTATATCTGTTAGCAGTCAGTCCCAATTCCCCTTTCCCCCAGTCTTGGGCAGCTTCTAATATACTTTCTGCCTCTTAACCAATTCCCCTATTCTGGATATGCCATGTAAATGGAGTTAAGTAGGTAATGTATGGCCCTTCCATCTGGCTTGTTTCACTTAGCCTGTTTTTTAGATTCATCCATGTTGTAGCATGTATGAGTATCTCATTGATTTTTTGTGGCTGAATAATATTTCTCTGTGTGTGTATTCCACCCCACCTTTCCATCAGTTGTTGATTGACATTTGGATTGTTGGCACTTGTTTATCCAAGTTTAAGGATGCAGTCCCACCATAGTCTCAGGGGACATTGAGCTCAATTGGCATAACATACTACACAAAACATTGTTCCACCTCCTACTGTGGCGAGTAGTGACTGGGATCTTAAAAGCTTGCAAACACCCATCTAGATGCAACAATGGACCTCTCCGCATCCAGAGCAAAGAAAATTGAAGAAAACTAAAGGTTCATGGAAACAATTAGTCCTTGCGACTGGTACACTAATTGACTGGTACACCATGCAATCTGCAGCCTGTACGACTATGAGACCAGAAGAACTAGATGGTGCCTGGCTGCCACTGTCAACCACTCAGAGGGGGATCTATGTAGGAGACCCTGGATAGAGAGGGAGAACAATGTGGAACAAAACTCAAAATCATTTGTGACAGAGAAAAAGGGGGGACCAGGTTTGCTGGCCTGATATAGCCTGGTAGAACCACTGAGACTATGGTCCCTAGCTGCCCTTCAGGTCTAGAATTGAACCTACACCTGTAGCTTCCAGCCACACAAAAGACAGGCTTAGGGTTCAGCATTTACCCGAAGCAGATACACTCCTTGGAGAAAACAATCATGAGAGAAAGAAGGGCTGTTTATACATAGGGAGGCAGCTCGGGGCAGGAGTGCATGGAGGCATGGACACAGGGAAGAGGTAACTTACCAGGAGGAAGTACAGGGAGGGAGCTGTTATATTGTGGTAAATTATAGTCAATGTCTTGAGACAAAGTGTATGTGAACTGCTGTATGGAAAGTGATTTTGCTCTGTAAACTTTCACCCAAATCACAATAATTCATACATACATATATATACATGATAAATAAATACAAAAAATATCACTAAAGAAAACAAAAGAAAGAATGTGATACCGTAGTTCATTAAAGCTCTTTTTGTCGATGATTTTCAACTAGTGGGTTTCATCATGAGTGATCTTTTTCTATTTTGTTGAAGACCACCTGCAGCTTACCCAGTACTTCAGAAAAGAATTCTCCAGTATCCTGCCAGGGCCATATAAGTTTATTGCTAGCATTTTGGGACCTGATTGGTGTAAAGCTCGAAGTGGACCAGAAGTGGATCCACTGGTCTCTATGAAAACTTTTACTTTATTACTACAGTTTTTAGCCCATTGCTTGATTCCTATCCTTGGATTGTCTGATGTCTCTCTCCCCAGCACCTTTCTTTTTTAATCTCATCAGATTGTAAACCATCTATTTTTACTGGGGTATAGAATATAGTCACCGTACTTCTTGGATTGTTGTTGTTGTTGTTATGTGCCGTGGAGTCGGCCCCGACTCATAGCGACCCCTCCTTGGGTTTCCGAGGCAGTATCACTACGGAAGTAGGATTGCCCAACCTTCCTTCCGAGGAGTGGCTGGTGGGTTTGAACCGCCAGCCGTCTGGTTAGCAGGCAAGTGTCTTAGCCACTATGCTACCAGAGCTCAAATTGGAAATCTAAATGTTTCTTACACATATTTACATCCAGTCTTTTTCTTTTCAGCCCCACTCTATTTTGGCTTTGAGGGGCTGTGTATTTCTCACCCAGTCTTTCAGTTGTTCTTGGGCGCTAAGCAGCTTACATACTGTCAGTGCCCTGTAGTTTCAGCTTTCTCATGCCTTTGTTTCAGTTTCACTTATTCCTTTACATTTTTATGAGACTATTTTAAGATATGAACATTTGTGTTTGATCTCCCATATTTAACCAGAACTTTGTGGCCTTTCTCTAATGAGGATATTTTATTAATTTTTCAGAAAGAAGTAAATCCCTTCCTTGAGACTAAACAGTTTTCTCTATTAAGGTCTGACTATGATTGAATTACAGTCTTTCTTTCTCCCTTCTTCCTTCCCTCCCTTTCTCCCTGTTCTAAATAATTCAAATAAATGCATTCATACAATATGTGGCCTTTTGTGTCTGGGTTCTTTCACTTAGCATATTTTCAAGGATGATTCATGTTGTAGCATGTATTAGTACCTTATTCCTTTTGTTGCTGAGTAATATTCCATAGTATGAATATTGTACATTTTATTTAATCATCATTTGATGGACATGTGGGTTATTTCTACCTTTTAGGTATTATGAATTATACTCCTGTGAGCATTTATGTACAAGTTTCTATATTGACATAATGCTTTCATTTCTCTTGGGTGTATACCTAGGAGTGGAATTGCTGGGCATCTCTGTGTTTAAATTTGAGGAACTGCCAGATAGTTTTCTAAAGTGACTGAATACTTCTGTATTCCTACTGGCACTGTTTCAGGGTTCCAGTTTTTCTACCTCGTCATCAACACTTGTTGTCTGTTCATTTTTTTTAATATATAGCCATTTTAATGGGTGGGAAATTATCTTTCTTTTGTTTTGATTTTCCTTTACCAATGACTAATGATGTTGAATATCTTTTCATGTACTTATTGGCTATTTGTATATCTTCTTTAGAGAATGTCTATTTAAATAGCATTTTGCAATATCTTTTTACTTTAAGGATAATGAAGAGTTGAGAGTTAGGTGCCCAGTGCCTGCAGAGGATGAGCAGACAGACTACAGTTCTACCCCGCAGCTCAGTATGAGTGCAAGTCCTCCATCTGCAGCTGAGCTTCCTGCAGTAAGGTATACATTTCAGTATAGAAAGTATTCAACATTGAGATTACTTTTTATCTGATTAATTGCTGGACTGTTCCTATGTGCTATATGATGTCTAATTTTAAGGTCTTTTTTCCTTAGCACAACTCAACAAGAAAAGGATATAATAGAGGAATCTACTGTTACAAAAGAACTGCAAACAACCTCAGTGAAGGAGGATCTCAGCCAGATGACGACTTTACCAGTTTCTTCCCCAAGTAGTAGTATAAAGCCTCCAAGGACAAATACTGCTTCACCAAGTAATAGTAATATAAATGCATCTGTAGCTGTGGCCCTACAGGTAACATGAAGAGTTTATATGTAAGGGGGAAAATAAAAATACTAACTTAGATAATGGAAGAATTTGCTTTTTTCACATGAGTCTTTATTAAGGGGATAGTCATTTGGAAGTAGCCCAAATTGGGCCTGCCTCCATCAGAAGCTAAAGGTGTTTGACATCACTGAAAGACTAGGGAAAGTTAGGCATGTTAAAGGAATGGCAGAGTTACTGTATATTTTTTTTTCTTTTTATTGCTTTTTTTCTGGTCATATTTTAGTTAAGTGAAACCTTTTTGTTATCCAGGTTAAGATGAACTTAGTCATTTGGGAATAGTATAAAGAGGCCTTGAATGTCTTGAAATTCTTCTTTTATGTGTGATACTTAACAAATTTGAAAATGATGAGGGCCTATTCTCATTTTAATCCACTTGCAGAATTGTTTCTTAATTTTATAATTGGGAAAGTACAGAAAAATGAGAGTGGGAAATAATGATCTTTTTATGCAATGATAAAATTAATAAAATTTTAGCATAATTTTTTATAGGTTAAGAACATTTTATGTTGTCATTGGATAATGATAGTAGAATAAACCAAACCTGCTGCCACTGAGTCAATTGTGACTAATAAAAACCCCCATTAGGTTTCTAAACCTTAAGTCTTTATGAAAGTAGGTTGCGTCCTCTTCCTCCTGTGAAGCAGCTGGTGGGTTTGAACTGCCAGTCTTCTGGTTAGCTGCCAAATGTGTTACCCACTACACCATCAGAGTACCTTAATAATAGAATACTATATGCTGGGAGCAGTGCTAAAGACTTTTGGCATACTATGTCTATTATCACAGTATCTTTATTACCTTCCTTTTACGGATGAAGTAGCTAAGACTTGTAATTAATTTTCTACTAATACATTATAGTTTCTCTGCAGAGATTCTTATAGATTTCCCTAAGGTTCTCTTAATCTGTACTTTTTCATTAGACATTGAGGTTGTTGGCAGTTCTTTTGTCACTACAATACTGATATGATCCTCCTTGTAATAAATTTCTTGAATTCAGTTATTGTATTATAGGTAAATGTTTAAGGCTTTTAGTTATTTTCAACAAATATACTTTAGAAGATTATATCAATACATTCTAATAACAGTGTATAGGAGAGTGCCTGTTGCCTTTTCCTAGAAGAAAATTTACTGCTTTCCTTGTGGTTACCATGATCCTTTTTGTACTTTATTAAAGAATGTGCACCATAAGTTGTTTGTTTTTCTTTTGTAATCACTTCACAGGAACCCCGAAAATTAAGTTATGCTGAAGTGTGCCAGAAGCCCCCTAAAGAGCCATCTCCAGTTACTGTGCAGCCACTACGGGAACTTCGCTCCAATGTAGTGTCTCCTGCCAAAAATGAAGAGAATGGAGCGTCTGAAAAGTCTGTCGAGAAACCACATGAGAAGCCAGAAGCAAGGGCTAGTAAGGATTATTCTGGCTTTCGAGGCAATACCATTCCCAGGGGAGCAGCTGGAAAAATCAGGGAACAGAGACGCCAGTTTGGCCATAGGGCTATACCTCAGGGAGTGACTCGACGTAATGGCAAAGAGCAGTATGTGCCACCCAGATCACCAAAGTAAAACAAACATACAAAAGAAAAAAAAAACTATTTCAAAAACTTCACTCTCTTCCCATTAAACTTGAGCCGTGGCTGTATTGAACTGTTTTGGAGGGGAGGGAGTAGCCAGGAAGAGAACAGAGGAAAAGTCCTTAAATCATTATGGATTTTGGTGTTGTGAGCAGTAGAATCCCAAAATTCATCTCTAAAGTGATTTTAAAATGCTGGATGATTCCAATCAGTATAAATATATATATACACATATATATATATATATATACATATATAAAAATATAATTTTTCTATTTTTGTTTCTGATTTTAATTTGCGGATATTTTCTGCCTGGAATCAATTTTGAGGGTTCAGATTTAGCTGGGGAAAAAAACATATTACACATCCTTCAGTATAGGAGATGAGGGAGTGAGAGAAAATATTTTTTGAAGAAGCATTTCTGTAAAATTAGAAATTACTTTTTTTAATCTATTTAAAGTTTGGCTAGGAAAATGCCATCTTTTGCCTGTATGGCCTTGTGTTGCAAAGCAGATCATTGGCTGGGGTGCCTGTTGTGGGTGTGAATGTGCAGGAGTGAGTGAAGCCAAATCTGTTGTCAAGTTAGTAAATGATTTGAAAACTGAATGTAATACTTGAGTAGAAGTTGTTTCCAATTTGGAACTTAGCCTATCTTTGATTTTACTAATATTTCATTAAACAAAGCTGTTGAGGTGATTGTACTTGGCGATGTGACTACCATCCAGTTTGTTACTCAAGGAAAGAATGTGGGTTATGCAAGAACTTGATCATTTGATTTTAAACCTCAGTGAATAGGTCACATGGACTTCAGGGGTTTAAACTGCTCTGTGATTTTTCTTTCCCCCTCCCTAAAATGGAAAACATGGGTGTGTTTTAGTTTTTAAATTCATTTGTTACTCTCCGTACTTTAACTGCCCACCTCAAAATTAAAATAACCAACCACTTACAGAATTGTATGTTTCTCTTTTGGCCAGTCTAGTCAAGTCATATAACAACTGTTCTAAACCTCTGAGTTGAACTTTGAAGTATTTTAGTCTCTGTTCACATATTTAGAATTCTAGATCCCAGAATGGTAGGGCACACTGACCCTACAGTAATTTATTTGTGTTAGTGTTAAAGAAACATTGTAATTGATTCTTAAAGTGTTATTAAATAGTGTAGAAGTAAAAAGCTTTAAAAAAAAAGATTTAATTTGAGGGCAACTTAATTCTGTTTACAGTATATTTATCACCTTCCCTCCTTTCCTTCACAAAAAGATTATATGTACAATTTGGAATTCACTGAGACAGAAGCAGTCATGACACTTTCTAACTAAGGTGAGAAAGATGGTTAAGAAAATTAATACATAATCTCTCAATAAAATTGAAGCTCTCATATATTAAATAGGCAAGTTTACATGCTGGTAGAAATGGCTAAAATATTAAAAACCATGTTACATTAATCTGTTTTAAGTCATACCGTGTTCAAGAGTTTATGTAAGGTGGGATTTTGTTTTCTTTTTAGGGATAGTTTATGATAGTAATAACTGTCCCTTATGTTAGTGAATTACATATGTACAAACTGAAACTGTAAATTGTGAACACTGGAAAGCACCATTGTGACATTAAAAACATCTTAGTAATATATTAAAATGAATGTAAATGAGGTTTAAAGTTACATTACTGTGAAACTCATCTTCCAACTCTTAAGTTAAGCTTTGCAGATTTGTGTTAGTGAGTAACTGTTAAGAGCTTTGAAAACACTGCACATTTCTTTTCTGTATAAGTCAGAATTACTCTTTCTTTGTAACTTATTATTCAGCTCAGTAATTGCTTTTGATTTGATAGATTGATAACATGGTATAATATATTTAAGCAGTTTGAAATCATTCATTTCCACATGCTATTTTTAAAATCATCTACTAGGTGAAACATACAATAAAACTACCTGTGCTGAATTTGCGGAAGTTTAGGTCCTTTTAAAAAAAGTATTAATAATCATTGATTACATCTATACTAGAAGTGCTTATTTTTGTTTACTTAATGCTGCAGTTGGTGGAAATGGTAAACATTTAAAGTGTTAACACTCTGTGAATGCATTGGATTTAAAGAGAATAAACAATTCATAAAAATCACTTGGGTAAGAATTATAAACTTTATTGCACTTAAAATGAAACATTACTTTTTTTTTTTTTAACAATGTGTCACAGATTTAGGATTTATATGCTTGTGTGACTTACATTTAGTCCACCCAACTTCTGAAAAATGTAAGGATTCTAATTGAAACATCAGAAGAGAGTCCGTATTTTGAAGAAAGCAACTGTGTTCTTGCTTTTGTTCCTAAGTGTTATTGAAAGTAGAAATTTAAAGGTGTGACCACTTTTTAAATCCTTATAAAATACAGCATTTCTAATTTAATTTGCTTCTTTACATCTAGTAGTTCTCTTTATGATGGGATGTCTAGGGAAGAATGAGAGAGAGAGTGTGTGTGTGTGTGTGTGTGTGTGTGTAAAACATTGACGGTATATATTCAGTGTTTATTTTATTGCAGCAGATTTAAGGTTTGTATCAAAATGATGCCTGTAAGTTGTGTGAATTGTTGGCTTTTAATTTTTTTAGTATTGTAATTGATGAGGGTTAGAGAGTTCATTGTAGTTCAGCTATTTATTTCATTGTTTAGATGGAGGAATTTAAATATCAAATCTTTCTCTCTTCACCCTTAATGACTTAATACTTCCTTGGGTTGTTGGAGGCGAAAAATAGATACAAATGTTATTTCTGAAATGAATTCTTTATGGTACAGTGATGATCTATAGTTCTTAGTGCATGAAGAGAACAAGAGTCACACAAGTTCATAGTCTTCGTATTTCATAGACAAGGTGCATGGAGACATTGCAAACCCCTATCTCCATTTTCTATCCTGACACAGGTGTTTGTAACATCCTGGTCTGCCTCTGATACGAGTAATTTCATTTTTGCTGGTTATAGACACTGGCATTCAAAATAGTGGTCCATCTAAATGTTTTTAACTGACTGTTGGAGGAAGACAAGGTCTTTGGGTGGTATGGGTTTGTTGTCTTACACGCTGCATTTGTATGTCATCAGATGGCATGCAGAATTTTTATTTATTTTTGATTCCTAAAATTAAGATAGCTGGAGTACTGTTTTACATTCCATTTTCTTTCTAAATAACCAAGTTGGCTTTGCAGAAGGTTTAATGATGGAGTGTTAGCATCTTCACTAATGTAAAGGAAAACAAGGATATTGCTGGAGCAGAAAATAGTATTTAAGAGCTACTTAACATTTTCTCTAGATTAGTTATGGCCTCAATATTTAGTATATTGGCTTAAATGTCCATTGGTTTTACTTTGAAACAGTTGAACAAAACTGAGGTTAAGTCTCTAATATTTGTGTTGGCAATATATATTAAGCTTATTTTAGAAGTACCAGTTTATTTTCAGAACACACAAAAGGTAGAGCAGTGTATTGCCTCTTCATGGGTTTTTATAAAATCTTAATTATAATATATTTTTTTTTCTAATTTTTTAATATTTCCTTATAATTTGGTGGCCACTAATTTAACTTTAGGCTTTTTGGTGTATGTTAATGTAGCTAGTCTGAGCTTCCAAGAAGATACATAGACATTTCAGTTTTCATTAGCTGAATGAGGACATTTTAAGAAGTTAAAGCATTTGTTTTCAAGTGTAGTTGAGAATAAATCTTGTTTTAAAATTCACCTGATATATTAAATAACTTAAAGCTTTTTTAAGCTGAGAACCTTTTATGAATCTTTGAGTAGACACAGTTTCTAAAAGTGCAACTCAGATATCAACAGACTGTGTATAAAGTGGTTTTGTTTTCAGTTTTGCAGCATATCACATCAGCATCAGAGTTGATTTTTACCTGATTTAAGTGTACCTTGAATGACATCTCTTAAATGTTGGGGGGTGGGGGTCAGACCAGTTATCTGGCTTCTATTTTGTCCATTGCTTTAGGATTGTTCCTGTTGTCAAAACTGTCAAAAAAAAAAATATATATATATATATATGGTGTGACATGCTCATGCATAAAATGTTAAAATGAGTACATCCTTGTATTTGTATTTTTGTTTTCAACATTGCCAAGGTGCTATGAGAAATTCAAGTAACACAAAATTAGAAAAAATAAAATTATTAAAAAGCAGGATTGGTTTCTTTTTCTCCAGGAGTGTATGTCTACTGTCTACTTGTGGTTACTTCTTGATAATTTCACATGTTGCCCACTTTCTGGTTCCATCATTATTCTGGTTTCAGGTTTGGTGGGCTTTTTGTCTGAAAAGGTTACATTTCATCTGTAAGAGGAGGGCAAGGGGCCAGAAGATTCAGCCTTATGATTCTAGGGTTTTCTTAAATTCTTTTAATTTTAGAGGCATTATTGGAAAAGGAGAACTCACAGGACAATGTGCAGCTTAAGGATTTTGCCTTCATGGCAGATTATGGCCTGATTAGAGTAAGTGCTAAGCTTTATTAAAAAAAAAAAACTGCCAGTAGGAAGCCACTAGTACCTTTGCCTTTTCAGCCACACATTTGCTTTGATTGGGTCAAACCCAGGTAAACAGGTTTTTGACAGAATCTCTGTCTCTGCAAAGGGAAAAGGTTCAGTGGCAAATTTAAATGACCCTTTTGAGTTTCTGGCTTTTTCAGTCTAAAGACCAGTTTATGTAAATGAATGTAAAACTTTTACTGACTATTATGTTGTTGTTATGTGCCGTCAAGTCGTCACTGGGGTGGTGGTTTATGCCTGATATGTCACGGTTTATTCTTGAATTGTCCTGTTAGGGTCAACTCTTAAAGTCGAAATCTGGATCTTTTAAATATTGCCTACTTTCAAATTAGATTTTCTAATTCTCAGAAATATTCAGAGCTGTTTATATTACCAAGTTCAGGTGGATCGATGTAAATGATGTTCACTAAGGTAACAGAGTGTGAGCATTAACTTTTATTACATAGCATTGCCTTTCCAATACCTAAAGCCTTTAATTTGCTAATGAACAGTTTTTTATCTTAATGAAGACAACTAATGCCTGAGCAAAATGATACTGGTAATGACAGATTTCCAGGGAGCTTAGTATTAACAGTTTGAGGGCTTTATGTGAGTGTGTAGTCATACATTTCTCTGGCCAAGGGAAGGGTATACATAAATTTCTTTATCTTACCACAGACACAGTGTAATTATATGTTCTTTTTAATGAACTAACCAAATTAATACATTTGGTTGGATGTGAAACTGAGGAAAATAAGAGTCTAGGATGAGTGTCAGGTTGGTTGGTGAGAGTACTAAAGGTCTGTAGAAAGAAGCACACGTTTCTGAGGGGCCTGTTGGATACCTGTGAGATGTGTCTGGGATATAACCTCATTCTAATTGAAGTCTTGAGTGAATAAGTTTAGTAGTGGATTATAAAGGAGAGTAGAACACAGAACTCTGGAAAATGTCTACATAGGCAAGCGTGTGTTTTGTTTTTTATAGATTATTAATTTTTTTTAATGATTTGGGTGAAAATTTACAGAGCAAATACACTTTCCACACAGCAGATCACATACACTTTGTGTCATGACATTGACCACAATTTAGCACAATGCAACATC